GGCACTATCCTAGGCACTCTTATACATCCATGCCTTTTAACAATACCATTCGTTTTACAGATGGGGTAATAGACAAGAGGGAAATAACCTGCCAAGGTTAACAGGACACAGAAAAGCAGGGCCTCAGTCACAGATCTGACTCTAAAGCCCATGCTCTTTCTGACTTCATTCTCTAAAGCAAAGGAAGTCTTAGTTACAACGAGCAGGGTTTAAGAGCAAAAACCAGTGGTTAGGGATGTTAAGAAAATGGCCTGCTTGTAGCAAAGGGTGAAGAGGAGTAGAAAATACAGCTAATTTGGGTTATAACGATGACAGAGTGAAAGCAAGGTGGAATGTTAAGATCTGTTGCAGCTGACAACAGAGAACCACTGTAGGCTCTTGAGCAGGGGAATGGTATAATGAAAACAGGATTTTAGACATACTGCTCGCAGCATCATCAGGATGAACAAGAATGAGAACAGAGGCACTCAGAGTATGCTGCTGGAATACAGATGTGGGTATCATGAGACTTAAGATGAGTGGCAATGAAGCAAAAAGTATGAGGCAAATATGAAAATAACTTTGAAAGAACAACTCACAGCACTTCATGATAATCAGTTTTAAAAGTTCAGCTGCCTTTTTTAAGTAAACAAAATCTTATCAATAAATTAGCAACATTAAAGAACAAAAATACTGTTCTTTAATGGCCTCAGAGATAACTTGAAGGCTGTTAGGTTTTTTTCCTATATCTGACTCAGCAATACTAGTCTAGACCCTTTGGTCCACAATAGGCAGAGTCAAGTAATTTTCTTATGTATCCCACACATACTGATAACAACCCTTACTGTACCAGGCAGTGAACCTTAGCTGTACCTATAAAAATCCATGTAGTGGCCTGCAATGCTCAGCAATTCCAAACCCATGTTCGTGGCTGAACAGTTCAGAAAAAATAATATTCTCTCAAATTTTCAACAGGTGCACATCCTTTCAGGACTAACGAACATGTGTATATGTCTGTGAGCTCACATTCATAATGTATACTGAGGTATGCCAGCCATGTCTTGGAGAGGTATGGGGGAACAGGCACTAGCCTGATAACTGACTGGGTATAAATGTCACCCTGCCAATTTCAAATTCCCAATTCCTCACCAAACAATCCCAAGGAAAGAATCCCAACTCACATTGCCTAGAGTCCACATAGTATAAGGAAAATGAGTTCCAAGATGGTAGAAAAACCTCATTCATTCAAATATACTGAATACAATTTATTAAGCATCAAGACCCCATATGATATGAGCCCTGGCCACCTCTCTGACCTCCTTTCCTACTATGCTCCCCTTCTCTAACTGCAATCTAGTCAAATCAGCCTCCTTGCTATTCTTTGAACACACCAAGGTCTTTGCTCTTACTATTCCCTCTTCCTGTAAAGCCTTCCCCCAGCTACTCGCATGGCTCTCTCTCACTTCATTCAGATGTCTACTCAAATGTCACCTTGCCACATAGTGTTTAAGAAATGTTAGCTATTCTTGTCACAGAGGCCTTCCTTGACCAACTGATCTCAAATAGCACACACCTCTTTCTCTTCTCACTCTATCCACTTATCCTGCTTTATTTTTCTTCACAGCACTTATTAGTAATCATTATTATTTATGTATGTGCATATACATACACACATTCACATACACATGCATAAACACATACTCTCAGGGCAGGGATTTTTGTCTTGCTCATCACTCCATCCAAAAAGCACAGTAGATGCTCAAAGAATATGTGTTGAACAGTGAATGAATCACTGAGTTTGGGACTGAGATAAGTATGAGAAATATGATAAATAAGTCATGTCCTATGGTTCAAAAGAGCTAACAACCTAGCAGGGCAAGTAGATACACCACAAGAGAAAGTTCCACAGCCTCAGGTATTTCCCATAGTTTCCTATGGAGAGTTAAAAAAAAAAGTCCCCTGTAACTTGAAATGTTAACTGCTACAAAACTGTAATATAAGTTAAAAACTATAAAAAGGCTGTCAGAATACAAGTTCTCAGATTCAAAAAGACATATGCACCCCTATGTTTACTGCACCACTATTTACAATAACCAAGATGTGGAAGCAACCTAAGTGTCCATCAGTAGATGAATGTAAAGATGTGGTACATATACACAATGGAATACTATTCAGTCATAAGAAACAAACAAATCCTACCATTTGCAACAACGTGGATGGAGCTAGAAGGTACAATGCTTGGTGAAATAAGTCAGGCAGAGAAAGACAAATACCAGATGTTTTCCCTCATTTTTGGAGTATAACAACAAAGCAAAACTGAAGGAACAAAACAGTGTCAGAAACAACTCCAAGAAGGGACTAGCAGTTAACAAAAGGGAGGGGTGGGGAGAAGCAGGTAGAGAGGGAGGGAGAAGGGCACTGAGGAGTATTATGATTATACACATGGTATGGGGGGGGTCATGAGGAAGACAGTGTAGCAGAAAGAAGACAAGTAGTGACTCTGTGGCATCTTACTGCACTGATGGGCAGTGACTGCAACTGGGTACAGGGGGACTTGATAATATGGGTGAATGTAGTAACCACATTGTTTTTCATGTGAAACCTTCATAAGAGTGTATATCAATGATACCTTAATAAAATAAATAAATAATAATAATAATAAATAATAATAAAGTGCAAGTTCACCCAAAAAATAAATAAATAATAAAAAGGCTAACTGTTATAAGAGACAGATCTGGTTTCAAATTCAAGTATTGCCATTTGTTAGCATGGTAATCACTTAACCTTTCTCTACTTGTTTATAACCCATAGGTAATATGTGTAATCACTTCACAGGGTTGTTATAAAATTAAGATACTGCATGTAAAACACTTTTCATATTGCCTGCCACACAGTATGTACTCAAACGTTAGCTATTTATGTTATAGATAGTTGACGCCAATGAGTCCCTTGAGTCTCATGCCTAATCAACAGCTAAATATTATCAATTCTATCACCAAAGAAACCTCTCCTATCCTTTCCTTCCTTTTCACAGTCCTAATTGGTGTCTTTGATTCCAGTCTCTCCCTTCCAATTCAATTTACACATTCCCAAAGAATTAAATCAAAGTCCCCTTAGATTATCACTTAAAGCCCTTTAAGTGTGGGCCCCAACTTACACTATTTTTTGGAGTCCACCACTCTAGCCAAACGACCTCACTCAAATTTTTAATAAACACCCTATGCTCTCCTACTACCACACCTTGATCATTTTATTCCCTCATGGAATCTTCTTCCCTTCTTTTTATTTATTTATTTATTTATTTATTTATTTATTTAGGTATCATTAATATACAATTAATGAGCAACATTATGGTTACTAGACTCCCCTCATTATCAAGTCCCCACCACATACTCTTCACTTCTTTACCATCAGAAGTTTAAACTATTCCTACCACATTTCCAGATTTAGCTCAAATGCCATATGCCTTCCCTGATCCCTCCCAAGGGAAAATGGTGTCTCTCTGTTGAATACCTACAAAATGTGATTATATCTCTTGTACAGTACTGATACCTTTCACTTTGTATTTCAGTTATGTACTTCACAGGCTCCTTGTTGAAAGAATCTGTGTCAGTTCCTATACTTATTACATTCCTGATACTCAAACAAATACATATAGAATGAATATTTCACAGATAGACTATTAAAATTTTATTTAGTTCAACAAACTTTCAGCCTTGAACCAGAATTTTCTGCTCTAACCTGTATTACAGCTCCATTACAAAAGGAAACTGGAACGAACACAAAACACTATACTTTCTAACCCGTGGTCATATTAAATTTTTTTTATCTCTGGATTTAACAAGTCACACTTTCTTTCCATTTCCAAATCACCCAGTCTCAAACCCTTCCCATCAGAAACTTTCCTTCCTCTGCTCAAATTCTAAATTATATATTTAAATTTAAAAGCAAAGTGATAGATCATTCTTTAAAATATAGAATATAATTGTAATTCAGAACCAACTAGGTACCTATTAACAGAGTATAACTAAGATCACAAAAACACAATAATAAACAAGGAAGATGATCACCATTCTTTCCAAGTTAAGTTGCCGCTAACCTCCTGTTTATAAGGCTTTGAACTGACTTTCAGACACAAGAAACAGCCTGTATTTGACTTATTTAGTTACAGTGTTGCTCACACCCTAATGGTCAGGAGGTAGTTTTAAGACAAGCAATGACATTCTAAAATCCACCACCAGCTCTACCGTGTCTTACTTGCTATGCGATTGTGGTCAAGTCCCTAAGCTTCTCTGTGTATATCTGTTCAAAGAGTAGCTGAAATAGGGAAGGAAAACAAAACCTTCAATGGCTTGAAATCCAAAAATATATATTAATCTTTTTTACATATGAAAAGAGAAAAAAATAATGTAAATTTCCAGTGAATTCTCTTTATTAAATGGTCATCTCACTCCTCAAACACAAGTAATTGTATCTAATTTCCAAATTCATTCCAGGAAGAAATGTGCATTATGTCACCCAAACACATGCACTCTCTATTTCCCTTAACTGAAAGCTGCTGATTTCCAAAGAGCCAGAATCTGAGCAGAATGTAAACCTAAAGTTTGAATCAGTAAACAACTCGCCATCAAAACTGGCCAAAGAGGAAACGAGGTGGGTGGAGGGAAGGCAGATGACAGGAAAAACTCGGCTGACCACTGCGCCAAGTAGCTCCCTCACTGCTCGCCACAGGACACACACCCTCTCCCACCCTGGGGCTGTCAGGACGCCAGTTCTGGCCCCCACACAAGGAGGGCGGAACTCCCGAGAAGAAACCCGAGCTTCACCTGGGGCTCGGGACCCTCGGAGAGCCCGGGCCTGACAGACTTGGAATGGCAGCCCGCTGGCCCCGGAGTGGAGAGCCCGAGACGGCCTCAGTCAGATACGGCCTTGACAGGAGCCCCATCGGGCTCCGCGTCCAGGCGGTCCCCGAGGCCTGCCTCCGGGACGGCCCCCGCCCCCAAGCCGGGTCCCCGGCTCACTGGCTTGGCTGATCCGCTGAATGTTGCCGCTGCATGTCTGGATGATGCTGTTGAAGTCCCGCAGCTGCGGCACAGAGGGCCCCGGGTTCCGATACATGTCTAAGGGACCGTAGGACATGACAAGCAGCTAAGACCGACTCGCCCTGCACCGCGTTTCTCCCGGAAGCAGCCACCAGGCTGGACCCGCCAGCTGACTGGAAAACCGGGAAGAGAAAGGGCGGGGGCACAAGGGAAAGAAGCTGAGGCTGCGTGCGCACTAGCCCCGCCCCCACGCCGCGCGCACTCGTCTGTCAAGCCACGCCAGGCCTCATATTGCGCAGGCGCGACTAGAACTGGAGCTGGGGACTTGTAGCTTAGAGACCAGACGCGCAGGGGTTTGGGTAGGCTGGTTGTGGGCGTGGCTAGGGATAGGGTGACGTCACACCGTTGGGGCTCTGATTGGAGAAGCTGGGGTGGCTGTGTTGTTCCTCGCCGGGGCACGGTGAGAGGAGGCAAGAATTTTCGGTTAGCATAAAAGTGTACCAGACGATCTCAGCCCTAACAGCCTACTCTGTTCTATTCTGGGAATTCAGGCCCAAATATGGGAGAATTCGCCAACCTCGAATCTCAGTACCGTAACCAAACTCCTGAAATTCCTCACTCTACTTCCATCCTCCAGAGCTTTGGTAGTATTTGCGGAGCACTTCTATGAATTACAAACCACTTTCATTTCTCCCTCCATTTCGTTTCCAACCTAAACAATAAAATAATATTTTTTGAGCACGTACTATGTGTAAATCCTTATTGCAATTCAGTTGTTCATAAGCTCTTTCACAGTAAGGGATGATGCTCTAACTCTATCTTTGTCCTCAGAATAGATCATGGACAATCGATTTTTTAAATGTTCAAGTAACTTCAAAGTAAGCGTTATTTTCTCTCTTACAGTTGGGAAAATTAAGAACACCGAGGTTAATTTGCTTTTCTAAGATTTAACTGCAAAACCCAAGCACTCAGCTAACTCCATCGTCATCTCGCTACTTCCCTAAAATGCATTCTCATATTCTCAAATTCATTCTCCATGTAAATCCCTCCCAAATAGCCTCTTCATCTATATCCCAAACCAGGACTTCTTGGAGAACTAGACTCTCAAAAATTTTATATCATTCCTTTAAGGAGTGTGGAGTGTCTGACCTCAGTGTTCCCACAGACGACTGCATTTTGTGAGCTTATGGTAAATGGAAAGACATGGGTAGGATTTTGGTTTGGGAGATCGGAGAAGTGAAGGGAAACTGGTAGTGTTTGTTTCCTGTATTCTGCACCCCCACCCCCACCCCAGTCTGCTTCACAATCTCTAGAGAATGACAAAAAGGGGAAGCTGTTTTCCTGCGTGGGAGGGAACCCCAAATGGGTGAATGAACCTACATTCAGCCTTGGAGCTTTTGTAAGCAAAGCTATCTCTATTTTTCATTGGAGCATTTATAAGAGCATTTCTTGAACTATAGAAAGGGACAGATGACATTTGGGAGCTCTCATTCTGGTTATTAAGTCTCTACCATTTCTTGAATCCATAGTTTTATGTCAAATTTTGTAACAAATCATGTGACCTGTACATTTTTACCTATAAAAATAGTCATGAGAATGTCTTCATTTACGTTTTATTCTACTTAAAATGAAGTTCAGTGAAGGTATTTTTCTCCTAGGAATCAAAAACATAACAGTCATCACTGTTAATATTTTTACTTTCTCAATCTAAAATAAAAAATTGTTTTCATCTGTGCCTTGTACTATCTCTCATAACAATACATTTGTGCCTTGTAAATACTAGATGTCAAAAGAACATTTATTGAATTTATACATGAATAATGAAAAATATCATTTCTTAAATGCCTATCTAGGTAGTATGAACACGTTTTACAAATGTTAAAGGTAATCCCCAAGATAAAGCCCATCTGATAAAGACCACCTGCGGTCTGACGAAGTTGTTAATGCTGAAGGGAGACTGTACCCTAGAGGAATCATGGGACACAACACCAAACACAGGAAGAGATCGTTATTCTAAGATTTGTGTGTGTGGGGGGGGGAATTGAGTGTATGTAAAACTTAAAAGAAGCCGTGTTTTGATAGCCTCAGCATAGCAGGCTACATGTAAAGAGATTATCATCAAACCCAAGCTAACAAGAGGACTCAGGATCCTGTTTCCTTGGAAACTACCAAGTGAAGACAAATGTGGAATGTTGTATCTGGAAACCCCTTATCTGAAGCTCTGCACGTGGGTTGGAAATTCAGGCTGCTTCTTTGTGTCAAAGTAACTCAGATCCTCCAGGCAAGAATAGAATATTCTGTTCTAACTGATATTTCAAGTAGTAAATTTTCTGAAAACCTGTGATTTTTCTCAGCATTATGTCCTTTTTTTCACTGTCAAAAACAGTTTTCATGGTTCACACCTCTCAAGGTGAGTTTAGTTTCTTGGTAACAGCTAAGGAAACTATTCTCTAGAGGTTTGGGGGTATCTGCCTAATATCATACAGCTATTAAGTTGCAGAATGTGATTCATACATATTCAATGACCGTGCAGTTCTCCTCTGAACTATATACTCAACAGATATACATACATATGTGTTTCAAAAACCAAGTATAGGAATGTTCCTAATAGCATATTTTTAGGACTGAGCAGTATTTTTCTGTGTTCAGTTTTATCAAGTTGTAATTGACATACAGTAGAAAACACAGATTTAAAGTATTCAGTTCAGTGAATTTTGACACTTGTATACACCTGTGCAACCACCACCCAAACCAAGACATAGACTATTTTTCATCATCACCCTGAAAAGTTTCCTTGAGCTGTGCTCCTTTCTAATCAATTTCTCTCACCCCAGAAATCGCTTCTTGATTTTTATCACTACAAATTAGTTTTGCCTATTCTTGGGCTTTATAGAAATGGAATCATACTTTATATATTTTTTAGTGTTAGGCTTGTCTCAATTAATGTAATGTTTTTGAGATTTATCCATGTTGTTGCATGTATCAATGTTTTGGTCTTTTTTATGGCTGGGTAGTATTTTATTATAAAAATATACTACAATTTCATTGTCTATTCTCTTACTGATGGACATTTGGATTGTTTCCAGTTTGAGGCTATTATGAAGGCCAGAGTAGCATTTATTTTTACTAGTTCCAAACTGGAAACAACCTGAATGTCCATCAACAGTAGGATGGATAAATTGTAGTATTATGAACCACAAAAGTAAATGGCCTACAGCTATGTGAACTACGTGGGTAATCTCCTCCAAACATAGTGTATAGTAAAAGAAGCCAGACAAAAATGAGTATATCCTGTATTATATAATTTTTATTAGGTTCAAAGCCTGCAAAAATCAAAATAGTATGTAGTTAGTTTTGAGAAGAGACAGAGTGACTAGGAGAGGGCACAAGTGGTGGGCTTCTAGGATGTTGGTCTTTCTTGATGTGGGTGGTGATGATTTAGATATGCTTTGTGAAAATTCATCAAGTCGCTTACTTGTGATGTGTGTCCTCTTCTGTAGGTATGTTATAGTTAAGCAAATAAGTTTCATATTTAAAAATAAATCATCATTATCACCAATAGATCAAGCTTTCTGGGGAATGGTAGAGAAGGGTCAATGGAGAAATTCACTTAGGTTGCAAAGAAGACTGCATTAAAATGAACTCTCATCATACATTGGTAGTGGGAATGCAAATTGTATGGCCACTTTGGAGAACACTTTGACAGTTTCTTAGAGAATTAAACATAAATTTACCATACAATCCAGCAATCCAACAATCCCACTTGTAGGTGTTTATGAAATGAAATACAGTCATATGAAGACCTGTATGCAAATGTGTAAGACAGCTTTATGCATACTCAAAAGCTGAAAATAATGTAAATTTCAATCAGCTGCTGAATTGATAAATTGTGACAGATTCATACAATGGAAAACTATTCATCTATAAAAAGGAACAAATTGCTGAAACATGGAATAAATTACTGAGACATGCAACAACTTGGATGAATCTCAAAAGCATATGCTAAATGAAAGAAGTCAGAAACAAAAGGCTACATACTGTATGATTCCACTTATATGAAATTCTGGAAAAGTCAAAGCAGTAGTTACAGAAATCAGATTAATGGTTGCCAGGGGATAGAGTGGGAGAAAGGAGATTGACGATTGACTGCAAGAGGCACAAGGGAAGTTCTGGGTTGATGGAAATGTTCTATATCTTAACTGTGGTGATTACAGAATACATACATCACCAAAACCCTTTGAATTATACACTAAGAAGGGTACATTTTACTGTATGCAAATTATACCTTATTAAACCTCTGAAAATGGCACTCTGAAGTTCAGTGCAATGAAATGGTATACATGAGGTGTGTAATGTGGGGTTGAAAAAAACATAAAAGTTGTGGGTTGCATGAATGTTCTGGTGGCCTAAAAGTGATCTTGGGATAAAGTAACATTGGAAGCAAAAAAACAAGAGAACATACATGCTCATTCTTATTTGTCACAAATGAACTACTAAACTTCATTCTACTTTCCTTCTCAGGAAGCAGAAAATGTAGATTTTATTCTACAGACTCCTATGTATATTATTTAATCCTCACTACAACTGTCAGGTAATTAGAGACAGAACTCAAACTAGGCTAGTCTGACTTCAGCGCTAACCATAGCATGGCATGGTCTCACTTTTCAAGTAGAGTTGATAATCTGCTGCAGTGACAGCCTGGCAAGTCCTGGTAGGCAAAACAGTCATTGATTCCAGTAATAGCTAGGAAATATGAATTACTTTTCCCAAAATGGCAACTTCCATCTCTGCCTTCAAAATCTGGAGACTTACATAGTTATTACTCACTCCTATAGACCAAAGGTCAGTGTGGTGACCAGCCTCCAAGATGAACTCCAGTGATTCTCACCTGCTGGTATGAATGCACCTGGGTGGTCCCATTCCACATTGTGCAATGTCAGCAATTTGACCTCTGTAACTATAGGGCACTGCAAAAATGATGTCATCTGCAGGTACGCAATGAAAGACATTGCAGCTTCTATCTTGTTTTCTTGGATTTGATTTCATTCTAAAATCCATTCCCTGTGGCAGATAACCTTTTTTGAGATAGCCACCACAGTAGCTTCCATCCCACATGCTCCTCTATTTTGTTACCCTCTCATCAAGAGAAGGGATCTTTGTTCCCTCCCCTTGAGTTTGGATGGGTTTCTGACTGCTTTAACCAATAGAGCCCTGCAGAAATGAGGTAATGTGACC